TATCTTCTCTTCATCTCAGAAACTCCTTCACAAGTTTAACACTTCCCTTCAATTTTAATAGCATAGCTTATCATTTCCTCTAAAAAATACCACAATAAATCTCATCTTCCCATAACTTTATAAGTGAATCATTCAGTCCTGGTCAAGAAAAAAGTTTAAAAGTTGCTAGGAAACAAAATCATGTACACTTTAACCTTGGTCAAATAAGACAATTTTATAAATCTTTTTATTTTTTGAAAGTCTTGATATTTATTTCTTTTAAGTAGTGTCTCAGAAGCTGATTTCATTCTCTGTACCTTTTCTCAGGAATTCCATACAGGTATCACTTTTGATACCTATCCAAATCACTTTTCTGAGTTGAAATCACACATCCAAGTCATTACTCTGGTTTCTTATTTATAAATCCTATGCAATATCTTTTGTCAATATCATTCTTGTATTCTGCCAATTTTAAATCCATATCCAAATAGCCTGATTCTCAGTTGCATCTTCTTCTTTTGAGCCCATTTTTAAGTAACATACAATCTGAAAAGACAGTTCTGAGTAGATTGTCACTAAATATCCTTGAATTCTTCCAGAGTTAAAATATTTTACTTTGTATCGTGGAATTCATTCACCAGCTCTGCTGTGGTCATTGGCTCCACTCTCTGGCCAAGCCATCTTCTATTTGCTGTGCTTCCTGGAAGTGCCGATGCAAGACAATGCATAAAACATTCTCTCTCCAATTAAAATATACCTCTATATATTGTGATGTATTGCTAACCATCAAATCAACAGTCTTGTTGCATATCTGAATGGAAGGCTAAAGGTATAATTCAGAAGAAAGAAATGTAATTTTACAGAGTGCATTTAATGTTTAAATAGTTGTAATTAAATGAAATCAGTTAAATAGTTTTATTTTTAAAAAGACAAAAGGGAAAATTGCTGAGCTGGAAGTTCGAGAAAGCTTTACACAAGTACAGGTAGGCCAGAAAGATACCATCATTCAGTAACATTTAATATTGCAATCTTTGGTGCTAACCTCGGCGATTCATTATTCAAGTTCAAATGAATCTTAAACTTGAATAGTTGATGGAATCAAAGAGACATTGTCTATGTTCTCTATTGTTCCTACCTATTTACTTGTAACTTAGTCTACTTATCAAATAATTTGTGAGGAATGAACAAGATGGAAAGCTAGCACAGAGCAATTTTTCACTTATCTGAATTAAAAGATCCTGCAATCATTTACCTGGCTCCTTTCTCACTGAACTGGTGAGTTTTTTGATTATCTGCTTTGATTTCTACCTCTGATACTTCCATTGTGCCATAAGAATTTAATAAGAATTATTAAACATTTCTGATTTGAGCGTATTGACTGGATGGTTAAATATGATTCACTGATTACCGCATGCTTGGTAGAATTCATACAACAAATCATGGCTGACAATTCACAATGGTTGGGTCTAAATAACATCCTTAGCTTTAGAGAAACTATCCAGAACTAGCCCTTACCCCTAAAAACAAAACAAAAAAATAAAAAAACCCAAATCCATTCATTGGCAGAAACAAAGGATTTAGCTAGAAAAGTCGGCTAAAAGTCAGTTAAAAGCAAGTTTGCAGGCTAGATTGAAAGTTGGGAAAAAAAATATCCTGGAAGAAAGCAATGGTAAGCAGTTCCTATTGTGTATTGTTGCCAATACATAGACAGGTCCATGAAGAAGTTATAGGTGAGGGCTAGGAGTCAAGCTTGATTGAAGGAAAATTTTCTAGGGTTTAAATAGAATCCACTCTGTAAACTAGAGAAGAAATAGAATTATTTTAGTTCCTAGATATGTTCATAACTGGATTTCTAGAGTCTAACATCTCTTTTAGAGTAATACTTTCTAGGCCGTCCCAGAGATTTCAAAAGTTGTAAGCTTTCAAGATCTCCAGATCTTTTCATTTGCCACCTGCCATGTGAAGCTATAGGCAGTAATTGAGTGCCATGCCACTTTTCTGAAC